TTGTTTCCTCTTCCGTGATATTAAGTAAACTTTTAACTTCATAACTTTAGTTCTTTTAACTAGTTCTTAAAAGAAATTCTAACTAGTTCTTTTAACTCTAGTTTAATTAAGAAGTGAAATTGACATATTTAAAAAAAACTCAAGATCCGGGAGCAGCTAGAATTTTGCGGCTTCGGCTTCTCTAAAAAATAGTTTTGGCTCGGCTCTACGAGCCGGTATGGCCAGGGATGTAGAGAGCCAAGGCGAAACCGGGGCAAATTTATTTATGGGCCCTGTCTTGGCTGAAAATACGCCCCATTTAACACCCCACAAACACAAATGAGCTCTTTTTTTTTTTGTTTCCTTTTTTTTGTTATGTGCTTTAAACCACCTAGCGTAAAAGGTTCCAATAGTTTCATATAAATACTTCTTATAATTACAGATAAAACAAAGAAATCGATTTGTATTTGAATATAAAAAAATAGCCCGCTTTTCAAGGTATCCACTGTTTACGGTAATAAAACTTAATTAGGCTAATCAGGCTAAAGCTCATTACAACAACACCCCTAACTCATGAATTCAATTCGGATTAGAAAATATAATTTTGTTAGTGCTATTACAGATAGAGTGCTATTTGTTAGTAATTACTGCGCGCTTTGTTTTATCTAAGATTGGAAGATTTTGACTATCTTTGATAAACTAGATAAGCCAACATTTAAAAAAAAAAAAGTGAAAACTTGTAAACATACTTCGTAGAACTAAAAACAAATAAAAAAAACGTGTCATAAAAATCAAATGGCCGAAACAATTTTCAATTTTCATAAAACAGTCTTTTATACATATGCTTAATAGATAACTGATTATAAATGAAAATAGGGAAGGCCATGACCCTAAATTGTTTATCATATTTTGAAGAAATAAGTAAACAAATATTTTGTAGTTTCACAAAAGATAGCGTTATAAGTTATGCGTAAAACGCCTCTATTTTCTAATGTACGTCAACATATTTTATATACAATTCTAATTCCCTAGATATTTACAGTTATGTCTTTTATATACATATCTTTTATATAGACATACAATATATAATCGATTAGCATCACTAATTTACAAGTGAAGCTAATCGATCGTTTGCACTTAATTGAGTATTACAAATATATATTTACATATTTATTTAAACTGTTTTCTATAATCATAAACAGTTTCATCTAAATATTTTCAAACATTATGTTTTACTTTTCTATTCTGTAACTCTAGTGTATAGAGTATATACACTGGAGTTACAGAATACACATATTGTTTTTAGACTTTTTTAGGGTGATATTTGTGTGTCCTAAAGTTACTATATACTCTCATAAGTGCTTTTTTTAAATAGAACTACAAAATTTGAGCTAAAAAAATGTATTATGACCATAAATTATTCTCACCATACAGCATAAAGAAATTATTCCTAAATGTAGTGAAGAGTAAATAAATCACTGCACTGGTCCATGCAACTGACCAGTTTGAACATTTAGCATTTGAACGCCAAAAAAATCTTGCAACCCTGATTGGTGAATTTTTATGCAATAAAACTCAGGGGATTTTTATATATCGTCACAAAACAAAACTTAAGTCTGGTTTTGGTGAAAATCACTTTATTGGTTTAAAATACCCCTTAGTGTAATAAGAATCATCGTACAATGAATGGAATCTAAAAATGATTCAATTTTTGCAACTATGGGTAAAATTCAAATATCTTGCAAAAAAAAAATATCGCTCCAAAACAGAACTATATATATGTTTTTTTCTGGCTAAAAATTAAATATACTTGATACACATAAAATAAACATTGAAAATACGTATATACACTGTAAACAAATCGATTTAAATTGGAATACTACTCAGAAATAAAAAACTTTTCAAAAATATTATTATCCGGGAATAATATTATATATAACTCAAGAAAAAAATAAAAGAATAAGTTTCTCATTTATTATCTATTTTTTATTACTCTAAACATCAGTAAGATTAAAAGCTTCTTTTAGAAGTTCCTTAAAAGTGAGTTGTCATTTTTATATTATTATATAGTTACACTATATTTATTAAAGTTAAAGTTATATTTATCTGTATTATTATATTGTTTTACTTAAACTATATAATTGATGGTGAGTTTGTTTTATCTACAGTTTACAGATTTGCACCAAATCGTTTTATCTTTCTGTATTTAGTAACAAATTTCACATATCTTTAGCCATTTAAAGTATTATGTTTAAACAGTTTAAGCATAATACTTTATATGGCTAAAGATATGTGAAATTTGTTACTAAATGCAGAAAGATAAAACAATTTGGTGCAAATCGGTAAACTGTCGATAAAACAAACTCACCAACCACCAATCTTTTTCATAAGAAGGTCAAATTCATTAATTAAATGTAAAACCTTAAATGCTTTTTTCTTAGAACGGATCGGTTTCCCCTCGGGCAGCACTTTTATGGGGCATCATCAGTGGACAAAAAAATATTAAAAGTACTTTATTATTTCTATAACGTTTTAATTTTGGTGATTGGGGTCATCCAGTAAATTATTAATTATCTACCACGGGCATCATGAAGTCTCTGCGCCTAAAAGGTTGACAATTACCGTACCGCAACTTTACACAAACGTGGAAAAAAACAGAGAAGCAGAGTTGATTTTTTATTGTCAAAAGTTTTAATGTAAATTTTCAACTCATTTTATTAATCCAAAATTAACTAATTTTAATAAACATAATACGATGAGCTTTTCATAGATGAACTTACTTTATCATTTTTTTTACTTAATTATTTTTGACTCAAAAATAAAAATACTAAATTTGTAAAACCCAGGGTCTGCGTAAACGGGGTAGGGAGGGGTACTAAAGCCAGCTAGTATGTACGTGGTTTGCCTGTCTCGCTTTCTCTATTTCTCCTAAACTTGATTTCTTTTGTTTTATATATAAAAAGTCTTGATTTTGTAATAAATAATGCGCATGTACTTAGAGAAGTTAAAGAGAACATTAAAAACGTACTGGTGCGTACAAGTAGAAGGGGTCCTAAATCAGTGGTTTTACTGAGCACATTTATGGATGCTATCAAAGTATTTAAAATAGTCTACAGAATATTTTTGGCAAGTTTTCATAAATATTAGAAGTTTTAGAACTAGAAGTTTATTGATATTGAATGTTAGACACGTTTTTAGAAACGAAAAGCGGAAAAGGATAACTTTAGTGCAAAGTTACCCAAAGTTAAGAAAACGCAATTAAATAATAAATATTTAAAATAAATTCTAAAATAATTAGTGAAGTTCTGTATTTTTCTTATAATTTTTTAGCCATAATTAGGCGGGGGAAAGTGACATCCAGTATATTTAATGATTTGTTGGTTTATTCTGCGCCCGTTTGGAAACATCACTCTTGAAGTGTACAGCACTTTTTTTTTACAGTATTTAACAGAATTGCGCTATTATAATATATAAAAGCTGTATAATTTACATAACTGTATAATTCATAACAACTGTAAATAATCAAGGGTAGATCAGAAATATGTAAGCAATCTATGCAAGCAATCACACAGTGAAAAATTGAACCGCACAATTTTATTCAGACATTCAAACTATCGATTGAGGGTAATTACCCCCTTAACCCTATTGATCCGCCCTTGTATATAATAGCGCGCTATTACATTAAACTACATTATAAATAAACAAGTGGATACGTTTATTTGGCACCTTAGAATCCGTAAATTTTTGTTAGACTTAACTTGATATTATACTTTAAAAAAATCTCGCTTCAATGACTATTTTTAACTTTTAGTAGACAGGGTGGGAGGGGGGTATTTCAAAAACGCTTCTAAAAAAAACAAAAACGCTTGTCGGTAAAATTAGTTTTTTCATTTGCATTCCCCACATATTCGTCGTTCGGTAAGGTTCTGCATAAATAGAACAAATAAAAAGATTTGCGCAAAAACAAAATTTGACACTTTATGTAAAAAATTATTTATTTTGTATATCAATTAAACAACATCAGAAAAATATTCAGAAAAATAATCTACAACATTATCAAAAAAAACAATTATAATCTGTTATAAAAAATATAAATAAAAATTCTTATAATTATTTCATTATATCTTCTATTTTTTCCATTATTTGCTTTAACACTCCATTAATTGAAATCCGTCTATATTTGTAAAACTAAAAAGGTAGAATTTTTTGATTTAATATAAAAATATAAAAATTAAAAATTTTACTATTTCAAACATTTAAATAATAAAAAAAATTTAACAAAAAATCAAATTTTAGTTGACAAAATAAAGCTTATGCATTAAAGGATCGTCCATAAAATAATATCTAACCTCGCTAGATTTACCAATTATAGTTAATTATATATATATATATATATATATATAGTGGTATATACATATATGGTTCAAGACCTTAAGACCTTTAACATCAGACTGTGCCTTAATGATATGAAATAATTTTTTTTAAGTATATAAAAGAAGAAAATTTTATTGAGGCTTTTGTGATATTGCTAATATATGTTGTTTTTGTAGGGTTAGCCCCTAACACAAATAAAAATTATTTATGTATATACCACGATTATATCATGGTATATACAATGTAATCAGGCATAAATAACACCCTGATGTCCTGCAAACTTATATTTACAGGATATCAGACTCAAATATATCAATAATTTTTCTTTATTTATCGATGGAGTGAAACTTATATTTATCTAAAATAAAATTTGTTGTTCCTAATACTCTTCAAAATATTAAAAAAAAAAGGCAACTAAATTTGATTTTTTTAATTTCACTTTGAGAAATTAGATTGAGAAATTAGAGACACAAAATTGAGATTTTCATATAATTATACAGTTTTATAACTTATAAACAGTTTTTTATTAGTTTCCTTTTTCAACTTAGCGATTCATATTCAAAACTAGAAACAGTCACACGTATATTAACTAACAATATAGTATATAGTAATATAGTAACAATATAGTATATAATTATTACTTTTTTTTTTAATTGTAGTTTTTACATCTGTGTTTCCACACTTGCGTGGTACGAATGGTTCTCCATAATGACATAAATACCATTATGAAAAAATTGAAGCTTTTTTTTACAACCGGATGCCCTTCTTGACATTAACATTAAGCAGGCTGTACTAGAGTAAATATTATCAGTAGCAGGATAACCTGACAGCAGGCTGAACAATATAAATAATAGAATCATATAATCTATGCACAAAGTTGTAAAATAAAAATACAAATGTGTACAAAGGTCTACAAAGTTGTAAAAATGCATACAAAGGTTTAAAAAAGGTTTACAAATTTGACAAAATTTGTACTAAGGTGTAAAGCTAAATAAAATTTAATTTTAAAATTTATTATCCATTAAATTCTGACACAGCTTTGTCAGAATTTAATGTATTTGTTCAACCCCAACATGACATGTTGATGACTTGCTGAAAACAGAATGATTGGTTTTAACAAACCTTGAATTAATAGCTTGTTAACTCCTAAACATATATATAATATATAATATATGTATATACATATATATATATATATATATATATATATATATATATATATATATATATATATATATATATATATATATATATATATATATATATATATATATATATATATATATATATAACATTCGTGAGTTAGTTAATACTTAACAAATCCAACATATCAATAAAGGTAATAAGAGTAATAATAATATGATATTAATATAGTATAAATAACACTAATAATTGAAACAAAGATAAACATCAAGTCAAAATCAAAGCTAAAATATCAAATGAAATTTTACGCTTTATTGATATTTTGTTATATAAGATATTTGGCAATTTATGAACACTCCCTACCTGTTCTCCTAAATCAGTTAAAGTACCAATAAATATATACACTAGATGTATGTAAAGTTAGTTATTAAAAAAAAAAAAAAAGTACAAAGGTCTACAAATGCAAACTAAGGTGTACAAAGTTGTAAAAATAAATACAAAGATGTTATAATGTGCGTACAAATATATTTATGTGTATGTATTTATGTTTAGAGGAAATATTGGTAGGGGTTTAACAATTTAAATAAAAATAAATTTATATATATATATTATATATGTATATATATACATAATATATATATATATATATATATATATATTATATATGTATATATATATATAATATATATATATAATATATATATATATATATATAATAATATATATATATATATATATATATATATATATAATATATATATATATATATATATATAGGTACGTGTGTAAAAATTTAAAATCGTTTGAATACTATATTGTTATACATCATTAGAAAGAGGATTATTGCAGTATTTTAAAGGTGAAAAAATTATCAAAATCGAACAATTGGTTCAAAAGTTATGACGGTTTAAGTACCGATTTTTCTATATATGGATTTGTTGAAGAAACTGTGGTCAAAATAACATTTTTCTTCACTTAAATTGTCATAACTTTGTCAATTCTTATCGAAAAACAAATATCTTGCCATCAAAAGATAGGTGTAAGAGTGGGCTACAACTTTATGTTAAACTCTAACCGTCGGGCGTATCCGATGGACAGAGGGGGCACCAAACCACCACCTTGCCTGTGTGAAACTGAACACTTTTTTAGAAAAAAAGTTTTTTTTTTAAGACATAAGCAATATAAATATACAAAAAAATTGTTTTAAATTTATACTAAACTAAAATATATGAGAGGTGTATGTTAGCAATAATGGTGTGTGTGGTGGTGATGGTTTAATACACCCTTGTATCAAAAACGACTTGATTTTATAAATATTTATCTTTACTAAAATGAGTAAAATTAGTATACAATATAAAATTATGTTATACAAGATCTTACGTATACAAGTGGTGTTTCTATTATGGAAGGGGCGTATAACCCCCCCTTCCTCCCCCAACCTAAAAAAAAAAAAAAGAAAAAAAATGCAATTACTGTTTTCAAAATTTGAATAATAAACTAAAAAAAAAAAATTATGAAACTGGAAACAATTTAAAAAATAAATTCATACCAGGCAACCACCAAATATGAGAGATAAATGTAAAACTCATAAAAGATATGTTGATGATGTTTTAGTACTATAATATCAAAAACATTTTTAATTCTTGAAAAATCTGATTGAATATTTAAAGTACAACAACAAAAAAGTAAAAAATATATTCCACTAGATTAAAATATACATTAGTGGTGCATCCATGGTCATAAGAGAGTGGAGTATAAGGGAGGGCCTATCCAAATATATCATAAGGAAAGGGGCATTAGAATGCCTCTAACCAAACCATTTGGATATATATTACTTTAAAAAATTATACAACTACTATTGTGGAGATATAATTAAAAGTCAATTGGCTGTAAAAAACATTTCATCTTTATAACCAAGTATAGCAACTACCTATATTAAAGTCTTTCATGTGATTATTACATTAACAGGAGTAAGGACCATACAGTATGGTTAACGAGCTAGCCATTCTGTTTGGTTAACAAATAAATTTCTGTTTCAAAATAAATAATAAATAAAATGTTAACATTAAAAAAAAAAATTATAATTATTTTAAAAATAGTTTAATATATTTGGCTTGGCTTTTAGTGAATGAGTAATATGATTAACTCCAGTAATGAAGCTATATCACAACAGAAGCTGTATTATTTATGCAAATCACAACACTCGCTATATAATTTAGGCAAGTCACAACACTTGTGTTTTTAAATTCATTAAATTGTAACTCACCAGAAACAACATCAGCAGCATGCTAAATCTTTTTCATGCAACAGTCAGCAGCTTCAATATCAGTTTCATCATTAATTTTATAATACCCTTATCTTGAATTAATAAATTTTTTTAAGTTGGGATGTATTAATAAGTTATGCACTAAATTAATAACATTTACAAAACTTACATAGCTGATAAGTGAACTCACCTAAATGCAAAATTTAGTTTGAAACATTTTTTTAAACTAATAACGAAAACTAATCTAGCATATAAATATTTTTTAATTACCAAACATCTAAACAATTCAAACTTAACTTACGGATTGTTTGTTCTAAATTGGCTATAGAAGAAAAAAAAAAAACTCAATACTTAAATACTAAGAGTAAACAACTATGTAATAAAATAATAAATCATATAACAGGAATAAAACTGACTTATATTTAGCCTTTCTCGATCAACTTCATCAAAACAATAATTAAATAAACTTTACTTTTACAAAGCAATATAAACATTTTCATATACTATATATATTGATTTTTAATAAAACGTTTATAACTATGAAAATATTAAAGAGACAAAATAACTAACTGATGCTGTTGCCTGAATCATTAATTGGAATACTTTGAGCAGCTAAAACAGTATGTTTTTTAAATTAGGTTTATAATACATATAATTTAATTACATGTTTTTTATTTAAAGATTTGTTTAAGTTACATGTGTTATAAACAATACTTTTGGTTATTAAATGACATCTAAAATGTATAAACTCAAACAAATAATCTATTGAAAACCTGGCCATCAGCTAAACCTTTGTTTATAATACATACAACTTTTATTAAAAAAAATCATTTTAATATTTTTAATTTCATTAAAATTTTGTAAAAATGTTTTTAATCGCTATTTTGAATAAATTTTTTTTTTTAAATAAGGAAACTAATGTTTCCTCATTTAAAGTTATGACACTATTTTTAATGTCATTAAAAATAGTGTCATAACTTTATAATGAATTAAAGAAAATGTTTAAATAATGGACTTGAATGAAATAACAAGTAAAACCTTCATAGTTTTCTTGATCCTGAGACATTTTTTACTCATTTATCTAAATCAAATATAAAATAATTAAGCAACCCCTCTGCCTTCCAAATCGGCATCGAAAAAAAAAATTAGGTACCAAAAGTGCTACTAAAAATAGGGTGCCTGCTACTAAAAAATATTCCATGAAATTTTGTAGGTGCATAGATAAATGAAAAATCTAGGTGAAAGAATATAATTGAAAAAGTTTCCAGCATATCTTCGACACTAATTTCATGTCAGAAGTACAACCAAGTTTTTGACATCAATAAACTCAGTCATAAAACTAGTCATTATAATTACAAACCAAACAGTAATAAAGGTTAACTATTCTAGTTTTTAAAAATAATCTATGTTGATATCAAATTCTAAAAAGTTAACTGACAAAACATGTTTTTACTACGCTAACTCTAAACGGACTTCAAAAAACGTGGCACAGAATTTTAGCACAAAATTCGGAGCCGTAAATCGCGATTGTCACGTACCTAATATATATAATATATATATATATATATATAATATATATATATATATATATATATATATATATATATATATATATATATACATATGTATACATTGAACAAAATATCTGTATTTTGAATGCATAAATCTTTTTTCTTATATATATATATATATATATATATATATATATATATATATATATATATATATATATATATATATTTTTTTTTTTTTTTTTTACAAATATACAATTTTTAAAGGGTTTTTATATTTTCGAATTTGTACTTCATGGCTGATGATTGCCAATAGGCATGAAACTTTAAGTTCCATATAAAGTTGTTTTTTCTACATTTTATATATCTATATACATATATATATATATATATATAAAATATATATATATATATTATTATTATATTGTATTTGTTATATAAATTACAATAAAAGTTACACGGTACAGATATGAACCATAAGTTCATCAATAGCTAGCAAGCTAGCTTGTATAGCTGCAATACAGCCACAAAAAATGATGCACTGTCGTAACTATGTGAGTTACTGGTCTATTTTTTTTTAAATTGTCAATAGTAGGGGCGTTGACAACATCATCTGGCAGAGCATTCATAGTATTCGCAACCCGATTGTTGAAAAAGTTAAGTCGAACAAGACAGTTGCTATTAATTTTGCAATGAAAGCGTTTGCGATGACCATAGATGGGAGGAATGTATATTGGGTCAATATGTCAGTTGATTAATTCAGTTTTATTTTGAATTTTGAATTTTTTGATAAGGTCACCACGTTTTCTGCTTTCACTTAGTAAAGTTAGTCCAAGTATAGCACATCTTGTTTTGTAATCAAGGTGCTTTAATTCATGAGGTATTTTTGTGGCACAATGTTGTATTTGTTCAATTTCAGTCATGTGTTTATTAAGGTGAGGGTACCAGGTGGTGATAGCATATTCTAAATGTGGACGTACATAAGTTGTTTAGAGGTTTTTCCAGACTTTTACATCTTTGCTAACAAAGGTATGTATGTATGTATGTATGTATGTACGTATGTATGTATGTATGTATGTATGTATGTATGTATGTATGTATGTATGTATGTATGTATGTATGTATGTATGTATGTACGTATGTATGTATGTATGTATGTATGTACGTATGTATGTAAGTAAGTAAGTATGTATGTATGTATATATATATATATATATATATATATATATATATATATATATATATATATATATACATATATATATATATACATACATATATATATATATATATATATATATATATATATATATATATATATATATATATATATATATATATATATATATATATATATACACACATGTATATATATATATATATATATATATATACATATATACGTTGAACAAAAAATCTGTATTTTGAACATACTACTATGAAAATTTTTCTTTTTCACATACACAACTGTTTAACTGTTTAATACAAAACTGGGCGTTACTATTAAGTTTAGCAAAAAAAATCTCTGCATAAAAAGCATTAAATTTTTTTTCTCTTTTAACACTTCATGTTCTGATAAAAAAATATGAAGATCAATCTTTCTTTGTTAAATAAATATTTGCATTAAACGGAATAAAAATAAAAGCTGTAAAAATATTGCTAATGATTTGGGATAACTTTTAAGTTTTTTGCTTATTTTACGGAAAACCTGTCTGGGGCCAAATAATATTTTGTAACATAGCAACATGTTTAATGATTGAAATTTGAAGCACTTATTAATTAATATCTCTTCTACCTGATTTTTGGTGCCTCTTTCTCATTTTTTTTTAAGGTTAGTTTTTAATGCATTTCTATTTTTAATTGTATCACTATAGAATGTATCGTAATGAATGAATGTTTTTTTTTTATGGGCACTAAATTTAATTAAAATTCAATTCTTTATCCAAATGAAAATCAAAAAATTATTTTCTGTACCTCCAGGTTAAGAAATATACCTGGCTGGTTTAGCAATTTTTTCTAGTTTTTTGCGTAAATTTTTGTTTATCTTTTTAAAGCGATGATGTATAAAACATTAAACAACAAAACATTGTCTTTAATATTATTTTGCGGTTTTGTTGTCTGACTTTAATAATCTTTGTTTTATTTAAAATTAAGTTTTAGTAACACTTTTTTGTTAAAAAAATTAGCCTAACAATGTTTATTTTACATATTAAACAACAGAAACATATTATTTATGATTATTTTTGCTAAAAAGTAACATTAAATTATCAAAATTCACGTTTATTCAAAAAGCAAAGAAAGATTTTATTATTTTATTGAGTTTTATAAGATAAAACATGTTATTGGTGTTATTAATCTTTTTACAGAACAAAATTATCTCAAATATTTCAAAAGTTTTAGTGACACCCCATAAATATAGGTTTTCAAAAAATAACAAGCCGTATTTCCACCTTGAAATTATGGACCAGCATAAGCAGCAATGGTTATTATTATAAATTATAATTTTACTTTCATTCAATTATAGTTACTATTTACACACTATATATGTGCGTATGTGTATGTAGATGTTTATGTATGTGTATATCAGGGTGTCTGCCATATTTTAAGATGGATTTCCTCGAAACTTCCCTGATTCTCATCCTGTTTTTCTGGCATGATTTAAAGCTACAAAAGCTTAACTTCAGAGAAAATCGACTTTATGTCGCTTAGAAAAATACTTTCAATTCAAAATATATAAACTTTAATACAATCTACAATGTTTTTTATGATTGTTATGAATATTATTAGCTGATTATTATATAACTTATAGGAATGTGCATAAATTGCATTATTAATTGTCGTAATAATGCAAGCTAAAAACTGTGACCCAACTTTTGTAGTTTGGCCAAGGCACGTGGAGAACAGACAACAATGTACCGTGAATTAGTAACCAAATTTTTTGAAATATGGCAAAAATTAGGAAATTAGGAAAAAGGCCAATTTAAATTATTATATATTTTAGACTACTTTACAAAAAAAGAACTTTTTTTTTTTACATCGTAAGTTGGCACATTATTTCTTTGAATCACAGCTCTGTAAGTTATGGCAGGTACTTTACAAAACTTTAAGGTATTTGTCAAATACTGGTACATTTTTCAAGTTAATCAGGTGTGGCGTACATTTTATTGGGTTTTCCCAAGCACCCTAGGTATTTCTATGAAATGCTGGATTTCTAACCTTGTTACGCTGCGCTTGCATTTTTTTTATTTTTCATAGTCACATGATGGTTTTCAACATTCTGATTAGTGCAAAATGTATGTTTATTAAGGTTTATTAGTATTGACTTTTGACATTCTTATTGTTAGATATATAATTTTTCAGTTATCCTTTTAGTTGTATTTCTAATTATTGTTTCAAAGTAGTGAATTATTTTTTTCGTATAATTAAATTGATATTCATTATATTATATTATATTTATAATTATATTAAATTACAATTATTATAATTGTAATAGTTTATTATTATGTATTGTATAGAATAATAAATATTTATATATTTAATATACAAATATTTATTATTCTATACAGTATTATAATATTTTATATTTGCTTTGTTATTCAATAAGTTGTGAACTTCTACAAAAACTCTTATTAAAGAAGTGTTATTGTAACATTATACCCTAACCCTGACCCGAGCGTTAACATTATTAAACATGTATTCTTTGCTATATTTATCTTACTCTATATGTTATATAAATATTATATATTTATTTAGAGATTTAAATAATATAACAAAATTTGTACACTTGTACCTAGAGCTTTCAAAATGTCAAAAAAATGTTTAATGTTAAATCATCTAATATCAGAGCATCTTGAACTACCTTTTCCATATTAGATATTTCTTATTAGACAGGTTTTACTAGTATACTTTCAAAATAAATGTTCAACAACTATAACGACAAGAAAAGTTGGTGAAAAATATGACTTGCCAACATCTAAAAATCAATAGCGATAGCATCAATCTATATAAAAAAAACATTT